AGGCACTGGCACATCACTTCAACTGCTTCACTGAGTTGGCACGGGGCGGACAGATACAGTTGTAGGGGCTGTTTTTTGCTCATTTGGGGGGGGGGGCACCCCCTAGGAGAACTCTGCAAATCTCCTAAAGGCTATTCATGATTTTTTGGAAAAAAATGGGCCTGTTTTTGTGAAAAACAGGCTGTTTTTGGGAGGTCTGCAGAGTGCATCTTATACTCCGGTGCATCTGAAAAATACATACATGAATGTTCCATACTTGACAGTACTATACTACAATACCTTTCAAGCAAATCTGAATCCAAAAAGGAGTCGGACCTACCGCTCAGATACACTCTGAAATTCTGAGGCACATCCACGGAGATTCGAGTTTCTCCTCCTTGCACATCTTGTGCTCTCTTGAATTCATCTTCATCGTAAATACTTGCCAAAGCAAGAAGTTCATCCTCCTGAGATTCTTTGTCTTCTGAAGACATTTAAATGATCTGTGAATGATAAACGTATTTCTAGAATATGTTATGAAGACATCATAAACTGAATAATCTGCTCCAGTCACCATCAGTACCCAAATGGACAATAGCAGCCTTCTGATTTATGAAATCTTTTCATCTGAAGTAGAGATTCCAGGAAACAGTCAAACGCTTTTACTTATTTTAAAAGTTAAACATTGTCTTTAAACAAAATGCAGTACAGTTGGTCTTAACTATGGAAGTTGAAACAAAATAACTTCAATCACAGTTTATAAATCAGTTTAGTTTCAATTAATGACACTTACGGAATATTAAGGTTTTCATGCCAAAGTATATTTAACAGAAATTAAAACTTTCCAATCTTTTTCTTGTGGCCTGGAGGGGGGGGGGGGGGGGGGAAAGAGTTTAAAAGCCCAAGACACATGAAAATAACAAAAAGCAACTGTCTATTCATTGTTATGTCTGAAGTAGGCTAATCTCAAGGAACTCACCTGAAAGCCTTTCTTCTTCCTTATGAAATTCCTCCAGGATCCTTTTCTGTTTCTGATCAGTTTTTCACTGGAGTGCCATCCCTGTCATGAAATATAGTGCCCAGAGAAAAATATTTGATCCATACAACATTACTTTAGAAATTAAATCAAATCTGTAATATTCTCTCAAATCAAACATACATTGTAAACTTACAAGTTTAGCTGGTTTTTAAAAATTCTACTGCTGCTACCACAGAACAGGTATAGACTTCAATGGATAGTTAGGACTGCATGGGAAAAAAACCTGCAACCAGCCTGCCTTCCATTGGGGATCTCTATACTGCACAAGCAACACAGAAAGAGGGCTGAGAAAATATCTACAGATATTTACACGTATCCACAAGTATTGAAGATACAGTTATCTACAGATCTACATCCTGGACATAAACATTTTCAACTCCTCCCCTCCGGATGATGCTATAGGGCATTGCATGCCAAAACAACAAGACCCAAAGTCAATTTCATCCCCTGCCATCATTCTACTAAATACCTAATTCCCCCAGCACTATCTTATGCCTAAGGATATTTACCCATGTAGTATGGCTATATTACTATTATCCATCTCACCTTTCCTGTTACCTACCCCTATTGTTACCTTATAGCTATTACTTTGACGGTTGTATCTTATGATTTATGATTGTATCTTATGATTTATGATTTATTATTTTATTGCTCATACAGCTTATGCACCAGAAACAAATTCCTTGTGTGTCTAATCACATTTAGTCAATATAAAATATTCTGTTGAATAAATCAATCTTTGGAATCATGCATGCTGTATAAACACCACTTGGCTATTAGGAACTGGGTTGATATGCAGCATTTCCCACAATACATGTAATAACCCAGATCAGCATAAACAAAACCACCATCAACTTAAACTTGTCTTGCTCAGCTTGTTAATTAAACTTTTCAAAGTTTAAGTACGTTGTACAAATCTGGAATAGCTAGATTAAAAAAAAGCTGTAAGTTGAAACCTTACTTGCAGTTAATGGGAAGTTAAAGGTAACAGCTTCAGGTTCATACAGCCTGAAAGATTCAATGAAAATGACTAAGGTGTGCAAGACGAGAGAAAAATGATGTCATGTACATCACTCATGGTCATTTAAGATATTGTGTGAATCACGTCAACAGGCCACACAACAGGTTGGCCTGTTGTTCTGATTCAGTCACTGTCATTTCTAAACCATAGCTCATGGCATAGCATCTTGCACTGGAGAACTTCAAGTTCTCCCTTTGCCCCTAACCTCCCTGGCTTCAGATATCACTTTTCTTGGACCAAAATAGCTTCTCCCCTTCTGAACTTTCTATTCCTCTTTTTACTTCACTTGGAGCAGCGAAGCTATAGTGGTTTTCAGCACAGCTTAGGCAAGGAGTAATGTTATCTGTATAGCATCAAACAATACACTGGTAGAAAAATTACAGAATGGCAATGGTAAAGATTGAAAAAAAAATAATGGTAAGTACATAATTGATTTAATCATATTTGATTTGATTCCTAATGATTCCACTTGCCATCTCTTCCTCTGCTGCTGCTTTCCTAATATCAAAATTATGACTCTTGGTTCCACAGAGCAAAGACATGACTTTCAGCTACATTATTAGTACCGCAATCTTACCTAAAAAGACATATGCAAAACATATTTTATTCCACTAAAATAATTTTACTGCTCAAATCAATCACATTTATTAAGAATGGTTATTTATTTATTGAATTTCTATGCTCTCCATCTCACTGGTTCTGGGCAGCTTATAGTATCAGAAGCAATTAAAATGGAAACATTAAAACATCAAGTCTTAAAACACAAATGGCATTAACAGTAAGTTAAATAAAGGACCAGAGAGTAAGCAGGTGTGGAAGTGGTATCTTATCTAATCTACTAGCCATCTCCAGAGTGGGACACCCTTGTATGGGGCCCAAGAGAATTGGCAGAGCCATGTTTTTAGGCCCTTTCCAAAGGCTGAGGGTAGGGACAGATCTCACATCTGGGATGGGAGAAGGGGGAATGATGTTCCAAAGGGCGGAAGCTACGGCAGAAAAGGTTCTCCTCCTGGACCCGACCAGCCACAATTTCTTGGCTGACATGATTCACAAGATCCCCTTTTTTGTTAGCACAAGTGGGGTGGGCCAATCCCATTGGTGAGATATGGTTCCTCAGATATCCTGGACCTATGTCATAAAGGGCTTTAAAGGTGATAACCAACAGCTTGAATTGGCTCTGGAATCAAACTGGAAACCAGTGCAGTTTACACAACATAGTTGTTACACGGGCCACCTAAACTGTTCACACTGCTTCGTTTTGTGCCAACTGAAGCTTCTGAATATTCTTCAAGAGTAGTCTCATGTAGAGCATGTTGCAGTACTCCAAGCGCGAGATGACCAGGGCATTAAAGTGACTGAACGCAGGACTCATAATCCAGGAAGGGGTGCAAAACAAAGTTGAGTAAAGGCTCTCCTACCTATGACTGCCACCTGCTCTTTGAGCAGGAGTGGTGTGCCTAGAAGAACCCCCAGATTGTGCATAGGATGTGTCTGGGGAAGTATGACCCCATCTAGAACTAGTTGTTAAACTAGGTCTCAAGGCTCCATATACCCATATCCACTCAGTCCTTCCAGGGTTTAAGTGATGTCTATTGTCCCTCATAGCCTCCAGACACTGTGAAACGGAAATGACAGCAACACCTCTGTCACACAGGTTGGAGATATAAAATTGAGTATCAGCAGTGTACTAATGATACCTCATCTCACTGTGTTGGATGATCTCCAGACACTGTGAAACGGAAATGACAGCAACACCTCTGTCACACAGGTTGGAGATATAAAATTGAGTATCAGCAGTGTACTAATGATACCTCATCTCACTGTGTTGGATGATCTCCAGACACTGTGAAACGGAAATGACAGCAACA